TGGTCCTCGCCTCGTCCCGACGGTCTCCGCCTCAGACGGTCTCCGCCTCAGACCCAACGGGGTGAAGCGTCTCGTCCTCACACTGTGTACTCGGCCTTCACCCCTTAAGCTTTAACCTACTTTTGGAAATTTCTGCCTGAAAAGACAAATTCAATCAACAGCTCGACAACTTGGAGTCCAAAACAAACAACCCGGGGCTCTTAGGAACACAATGCATGTGTGTCTCCGTCAGATCTGGAGGAAGTTTCCTCTCCTTAATTTAACAGAGATTAGCTGCAGTGAGTCAGAGATGAATCTGAAGATCCTCCACATGAAACAGAAACAAAGCAGAGCAACGACGGCACAGCAGCAGCTGTGAAGAAGTAATAATAATAATAATAACAATAATAATAATAATAATAATAATAATAATAATAATAATAATAATAATAATAATGTTTCTTAATGAAATAAATAATGTAATAAAATGAACAAATAAAGTTAAGAGGTTCGAGGACAACAACAGCTGTGAAAACTGATCAGTTATTGTGTTTTTATGTGAATACATGCATGAGGTTTCTGATTTGGACGATATTTAAAAACTATAATTTTTAAACATCGTGAACCGTCTCATCATCACATGTTAAAATTCATTCTCTGTTCAGTTGTCTTCGACTGGCCTTAAAATATGAATATTTATCAAGATTTTACTCTGATATTTTAAATACTTTCTGAGCAAAGAGAGCGTTGAGGCATTTATTGAAGTCAGAATTGGATCTCAGCTGTTATTGATATTTACTTCATTTAGCTGTTATCCTGTTCTTTCAGCACATATCCCTGTTTAGCTGATCTCCCGTTTGATGGGTCGGTTTGTCCACCAGAACCTGGATGCAGCAGCTCCTAAAGTCCAGATTGAAGTCCAGATGGTCCTCCAGACAACCATCTCTTGGTGTTTCAGGGCTAAAGGGAACGTCCTCCACTGGGGCTGAATTATAAAACAGCGGCTTCCCTCCTGACTGCTCACATCTGCACCGCCAAGCGCTCGATGGAGGCAAAAGGGCAGAAAAATCTTTCACATTAAAGGTCACGACGCTGCGACGCCACATTTGGGCCCAAGTGAAGCTAAAAAGCTGCTTTTTTAAACCTGCGTTCTCGCTGATGCCACATGAGTGTCTGTAGCGCCTCCTACAGGCCGCTGATGGCAGAACGTCACCTGTTTCAGTCCAGATGAGGATGTTCTGGTCGTGTTGTTGTTCCGTTTGAGTCCTTCAGCACCATGAGTCGGCGGTTCGCTGACTGACTTGTGGAGCCTCGGCAGCGAGTCTTATTTTGTCTTCAGACTTAATCCGTGGCTGTGCAGCGGCTCTGCACGAGGACTAATTTGATTATCGCCATTGTGCGTCTGGGGATTTAGCACGCCCAGGCTTTTGTGTGCAGCCGGAAACATCAGCTGCACATCTGCAGAAAGCAGGCGGAGATAAGACACCTTATCATCCGTCAGCTTATTACCAAATGGAGACGCTGCTCCTCCGCAGATTTTAAAAAAGACTCAGAAGCAGATAAAGCTGTAAACGTGCGTGACAAATGGCAGGATTTAGCAGAAAGCAGCATTTGGTGGAAGACACATGGAGAAGAAGAGTTTATTAAAAGGCAGGAGAAGAGAAAACCCAGAACCAGAACCAGCAGTTAAATCAGAGGCGAGGAGCTGCTGTGACCTGGATTCACGGGACTGGACGCATGACATTGTAGGAGCGTCGCAGAAGGAGGAGACGGATCGATGCTGCAGCCCAAACACAGCAGCCACTCCAACAGATCCAGGCTCCAGGGTTCTGTCAGCAGCAACATCCCGTCTCACTGTAGAACCGGTCCATCGTTAAATAAAGCCACATCATGTGTACGTTGTCGGCTTTTTACCGTTAATGTGCACAAAGGATGAAGTGTTTCACCTCCTTCAGTCTGCAGCCGTCTGATGGTCTGGATCAATGTGAACATCAGTGTGTCTGCACCTCAGTGCTCCAGCCAATAACACCACAGGTTATGGTTTCAATTTAGCTTTACTTCCTCACGACCCACCAGAACTAACTCCTCGTGTTGTGTCAACTATACCTGGCAACAAATCTGATTCTGGTTCTGAAATTACCCAAAATATGTTACAGTATGTTACAAATAAAGTTTTTACGAGGGGTGGGACTTTAACATGTTAATTGCCATTAATTAATTACAACAAAACAAACTCGTGGCTATCCAGGCCTGCTAGTGCTAATGCTAATGCTCGCTGCTTTGCCTTCAGGTGGTCCCGTCAGCTGGATGTAAAACCCGGCTCTGGTCCAGGCCTCCGTCAGTCCAGCCATGCGCTCTCATTGGGTTCCTCCATGTTTGTTGCTGTTAGCGTAGCGCCGACGCACCTCGTGCATCATGTGATCGGTGGACCATCGGGCGCTGGCAGACGCTCCGTGTTGTCTGGATGCAAACTGCTCATTTTTTTAACTTGTTATTTTTGTTGTGATTAATTAATCATAATTAACGCTTTAAAGTATGCTAGGGGCGGGACTTTGACGTAAAGTTTGAAGTCCCGCCCCTCATTAATACTGAGTGAGGTCGTTAGTTTTAATCACACCGCTGAACATAAAGTTGGAACAAACTGTTGTTTACGTCTTCTCATGAACTGGTTGTGATGATTTGTTCTGGATCCATGAAGTGTGTATCTTCTCAAAACTTTATTGATATCACGACGTACACACACACACACACACACACACACACACACACACACACACACACACATCACAGTGAACAAGCGGTGTGTTCAGGCTTCAGCTAAACGACAGGATGAAGGGTTTGCTTTGGTCGTTTAACAGGAAGCACACATTCTGGGGGATTTCAGTCACGACGACTGAGACTGGCCCCCCTGACATGGATCAGTGGGTCCAGACGTGGTGGCGTCCCGTCCACCTGCTGGTTGATGGAGTCAGGACGTCCCACGCTTCAGTCACATCCTGAAGTACCTCCAGATGTGGTCACTGCACCTGGTCACAGGGGGAATAACAAGAATAAAGAGAGGAATGTGTCTGAAAACAACAAGTGCTCCGACTTTATGGACGCCGGCCGTCCTCAGATCAGACGTTGGCTTTGAATTGTGGTTGAAAAGAATGATTATAAAAAAACACAAAACCTGTGGTGGACCAATGAGACGCCTTTGCTGATGAGCAGTGGACCAATGAGAGGCCTTTGCTGATGAGCAGTGGACCAGAACACCTGTCAACAGGTGCACAAGTCTGACTGAGAGCTACAGAAACACCTGATGGCAGTGATTGGCTCAGAGGGTTGGTCAGGTAGATGCTAGTTCACGGCTCCCATCAGGCTGGCTGGTTGGTCTGAGTGTGCGCCTGTAGAACCAGTGAGGCAGTGGATGTAGTCTATGTATATATGTATATATGTATATATGTGTAACCGGCGTCCTCTCCGTCTCTTCCAGTCTGCTCCCAGTTCTCCAAAGGCGTCTACGCCATCATGGGCCTGTACGACCGGCGCACCGTCAACATGCTGATGTCGTTCTGCGGCTCGCTGCACGTCTGCTTCGTCACGCCGTCCTTCCCCGTCCACACCAACAACCAGTTCGTGCTGCAGCTCCGCCCTCAGCTGCAGGAGCCGCTCATGGCGCTGCTGGAGCACTTCTACTGGAGCCGCTTCGTCTACATGTACAGCTCCGACTCAGGTCAGGACGGCTGGCTGGGGTGGTTCCGGTCCAGGTGTTGGTGAGCAGCACCTGGACCGGAGGGGCTGCAGGAAGGAGGCAGGCCAGAGCTAGCACCAAGCATCTGTACAATAAGGAGGTTTTCAGCAGATTTACATAAAGTCAGTCTTTTTTAGGTCACATGTTCTAAAACAGAACAAATGGCTGTTTGTAGGGCTACAGAGGTTTCAGGTATTTACAGTTTTACTGTCCACGTGTTTATTGTTGTTTGTTTTAGAAAATGTAGTCGTGAGATATCTGCCATGTTTCAGTCCTTAACATACAAAACTCTTCTTTAAAGTCACAGCGAGTGTCTGTAGAACAACACTGTGGTTGTAAAAGAGCAGCTTTCTGTTTGTACCTGCACGTTAACAGAACACAGAACAAACATTTGTCTCTTTAGAATCCCTAAAATACTTCATTTCCTTTCAATAACACAGAATATTACAGAATGATGACCGCCTGTTGATTTAACGAAGAAGGGAGAATGTGTGAAATGACGTAAAGAGTTTGTTCTCAGAAAGGTTCCTCTGAGAACAGCTGATCCGGCTCCAGCTGCTGTCTTAGAGGTCCATAAAGTCGTGTCCAGGCCGAGCCGAACCAGCTTTTCTTCTCACTCTGGCTCACTTCTCGCTGCACTATAAAGAGATAAATCCAGTCAACACACAAACAGATGAGAAAGTTTCCCACCCTGACTCATCCCATAATCATCCTCCTGTCCTGTTGCCATGGATACAGCTTCACAACCGTAGGAGACGCTCTGCGGCGCGGCGTGACGAGGGTTTTCTTTTACCGTCCTCTGATCTGCATCGGGGCTCCGGCCTCAGAGGGGGTTCACGTTATAAAGCCCGTCCGGAGCAACATGTGTGGTTCTGGGTCTGTAAAGAGGAGAGCCACAGATGTCCTTTAGCAAAGCACACATCATGAAGCCTCACCTGGTTGGGTTTAAATCAACAGCTCCAGTACAGCTGCATGAAATCCTCGTGTTCATCGTCTATGAATGGATCAGCTGGTCAGTCAGAGTTCAGTCCAGAGACGTTCAGCTTCCTGGAGGAGGAAAGAAACCAGAACGGAGAAGTTAAATCCATGTTTTTGAATGACTCCGACTGGTTTGTCTGATATAAAAGTAGATTCATTGATTCATGGCAGCTGATTGGTTAACTACGGCGCCTGGTCACATGACAAGCTGTCCATCAGCGCTGAAGCATAAACGATGGAAAGTTCTCCATAAACTCAACGTGTTAAAGGTCAGCTTTAGTCTGAACACCAGGCTTTTCACTTTCACTGCGACTGTGATTGGTTCCAAATCTCAGTCACTGGCCTCTGTGCTCACTAATAATCACTTTATCCCCGGTTCTGTTTCTGTCTCTGGTCATTAAATCAGAGCCGTGAGTCCTGCTCTAACTGTCCAGAGGCCTCAGAAAGCTTTTACATGTTCCTGTGCTGCAGCGTTTTGTTCCTCTGGCTCGGGCTCAGGTACAGCACATCCAGCTGAACCGGCTTCA